GGAGGTCAGAAATGTATTTTGGGCCTAAACCATTCAGTGCTTTATAAACCAGCAGCAGTATTTTTGAAATCTATTCTTTGACACACAGGAAGCCAGTGTAAAGACTTCAGAACAGGAGTGATGTGATCCACTTTCTTAGTGTTAGTGAGGACTCGAGCAGCGGCATTCTGAATCAGCTGCAGCTTCCTAATAGATTTTTTAGTGAGACCTGTGAAGACACCATTGCAGTAGTCGAGTCTACTGAAGGTAAAAGCATGGACAAGTTTTTCCAAATCCTGCTGTGACATTAGTCTTTTAATCCTAGATATATTCTTTAGTTGATAGTAGGCTGATTTAGTAACTGTTTTAATGTGACTGTTGAAACTCAGGTCAGAGTCCATGACTACACCTAGATTTCTGGCTTTATCTGTTGTTTTGAACATTGCAGACTGAAGCTCAGCGCTAACTTTTATATGTTCTGACTTGGCTCCAAAAACCATTACCTCAGTTTTATCTTTGTTTAATTGGAGAAAGTTCTGACACATCCAGTCATTGATTTGTTCAATGCACTTACTCAGTGTTTGAATTGGAGCAGTCTCCTGGTGAAATTGTTACGTACATTTGTGTGTCATCTGCATAGCTATGGTAACTTATTTTGTTGTTTTTCATTATCTGAGCCAGTGGTAGCATGTAGATGTTAAAGAGAAGAGGCCCCAAGATGGAGCCTTGAGGAACCCCACATGTCATATTTGTCAACTCAGATGTGTATTTACCTATAGAAACAAAGTTGTTTCTGTCCTTTAAGTAGGATTCAAACCAATTTAGAACTGTTTCCGAAAGTCCCACCCAGTTTTCCAGTCGGTCTAGTAATATGCTGTGGTCAACAGTGTCAAACGCAGCACTGAGATCTAATAATACTAACACTGAAGTTCTGCCACTGTCTGTGTTTAAGTGGATGTCATTAAAGACCTTTACAAGAGCAGTCTCAGTGCTGTGGTTTGGACGAAAGCCTGACTGGAACACATCCAAACAGCTATTTAAATGCAAGAAATTACTCAACTGTTGAAAAACAACTTTTTCAATGATTTTACCTAGAAATGGGAGGTTTGATATGGGCCTGTAATTGTTCATTACTGAAGCATCTAGATTATTCTTTTTTAAGAGCGGTTTAATGACTGCAGTTTTCAGGGCCTGTGGAAAAATACCTGAGTGAAGAGATTTGTTTACTATATGAAGTAGATCTGAGGCCATGCAAGGCAAAACATCTTTAAAAAATCCTGTTGGAATAATATCAAGGCAGCAGGAGGAGGATTTCAGAAGTTGTATAAAGTCCTCTAGGTTTTTATCATTAATCTGATGGAATTGTGTCATGGTGTTTGAATTGATGTTAGGTGGACACAGAGACAACACATTTGCTGTTCCTGATGCAGAGGCACTGACTGCTTGTCTGATTTTCTGAATTTTGTCAGTGAAAAAGGAGGCAAAATCATTGCACGACCTGGTGGATAGAAATTCAGAGGCTACTGACACTGGGGGGTTAGTTAGTCTGTCGACGGTAGCAAACAAGGCACATGCGTTGTTTTTGTTTTTGGTAATGATGTCAGAGAAGAACGATTGTCGTGCGTTTTTCAATTCCAAATTATAAAGGCCAAGTCTCTCTTTATAGATTTCAAAGTGAACCTGGAGATTTGTTTTTCGCCACCTGCGTTCAGCTTTTCGACATTCTCTTTTTTCTGTTTTCACGCTCATGGCCTTTCTCCATGGAGATATTTTCTTGCCAGACACTTCCTTTACCTTAGTTGGAGCAATGGCATCTATAACATTTTTTATTTTTGAATTAAAATGATCTACTAGCTCATTTACTGAGATGTTAGCAGGGGCAAGTGTGGAAGAAAAATTCTGAGTAAACATTTCCCTAGTATTTTCAGTTAAATATCGCTTTGTGGTTACCTCTTTTTGAACATTTTTGTGAACAGAAATAGAGCTCTCAAAGAAAACACAGGAATGGTCAGAGAGTGCAACATCAGTCACCACAACATTAGAGATATTCAGACCCTTTGAGATAATTAAGTCCAGAGTGTGCCCCTTATTGTGCGTGGGCTCCGTCACATGCTGAGTCAGTCCATAGCTATCAAGAACACAAAACAGTTCTTTAGCCCCTCTGTCCTGGGGGTTGTCAACATGGATGTTAAAATCACCAACAATGACTAGACGGTTAAAGTCAATACACACTATAGACATCAGTTCAGTAAAGTCATCAAAAAAGCTTGCACAGTATTTGGGTGGTCTATAGATATTTAGGAACAGAGCTCGAGAGGAGCATTTCAGCTGAAGGGCTACATATTCAAAATAATCAAAGTTTCCATACGATGTCTTCCTGTATTGAAGGGAATCATTGAACAGAATAGCAACTCCACCCCCTTTCTTATGCATTCTTTCCTGACTCATAAAACTGAAGTTGGGAGGGGTTGATTCGATAAGAACAGCTGCACTGTTATTTTGTTCAATCCAAGTTTCTGTTAAAAACATAAAATCGAGATTGTGCTCAGTGATAAAATCATTGATTAAAAATGTTTTTTCTGCCAAAGACCTGACATTTAATAAAGCTAGTTTAAGTTTGTTAAACACACTATCAGTCATGTTTTTTGTAACAAGCTGTGGCTGACATGGAATCACTGCTAAATTAGATAAACTCACACAAACGTTTGAGCGCTTCCTGTTTCTAAGATGATTCACCGCTCTTAATCTATTACCTATCAACACAGATATCGGCAAAGCTATAGGCAGGCAGGGCCCTGGCATGTCCTGGAAAGAGTTGAGAGTGCCATACGCCCTTGAGCCTGGACCCAGCAAATATCAGTTTGCAGCGTTTAGTACACACACATCCTTATCAGGCTTCGGAGACTGCAGATGCCCTCTCGAAGGGAGGGGAGGCGGCCGACGCAGGCACGGTGATGGAGACGTGGGAGATGGTGCGGGGGTAGAGGACATGCTGCCAGGGGGGGAGGTGGTTGACGTAGGCACCGTGATGAAGACGGGGGAGATGGTACTCTGCGGTGATTTTGGTGGGCGTCGTTTAGGAGCGGGGGTAAAGGACATGGTGCCAGCCCTGCGTATCGCCTTAGTTTGGTCTTTGAACTCCAGGAAGGAATCGGTGCCAACCCTCTGTATCTCCTTCATGTGTTTTTTTTACTGTGTTCAATCTGAATTTACTTTAAAACATCTATATTGATTCTGACACTTCTACATCCAACTCACATGTGTAACCTTGCTTTGAGAAAAAAGATTATTAATTTAACCCTTTTAGAAGGGAAGATATGGTCATTTGTTCTGGGAATGTCATTTTCGAGCCTGAGACCTGAAAAACAGGCTCGGGGCTTAACAGGTTAATAATACTTTTGCCTTTCAATGTTTGCCATTTCAAACCATGAGCTGGTTCAAATAATATTTGCCTTGATTTACAATATGTTCTCATTTGTTTTATCAGTACAGTTTTGAAGCGTTAGTGCTTTTCTTTGCCATAGCCCACTTTGGACTGGATGCAATATTTCAGGATTGCACTTTTAACTGACTTGAAATGTTCTCACTTGCTTGGTTTCAAAACATAACAAATGCTATAATCTGTTCATTGGGGACCATAACATCGATGCTATTTTTCATTGCTGTTGTCGGCCACTATTGCTCACGTAAACTAGGGATGGGAATTTGAAAGCAAATGTATATTCGAATATTCGACCCCCCAAAAAACGGTTAACCGGTTAACCGAAATGTACATATCCTATAAAAAAAAAATGGGTAAAAAAATGTGTTTAAAAACTTTTTGCATAATGTTTTTTTTTACATTTTTTTTTTACCCAATTTTTTTTAAATAATTTTTTAGAAATACATACATGTTCAAATAAGTGTAGAAACCAAGTCGAATTTGTCAAATGTATTGAACTGGTGATCATAGTTTGACAGCTATAGCCCTACAGCTTTCATGTGTGGAGGCGATTCACAATCAGCCCAGCTGTAGAGAAGACCCTCTCAGCTGGAACGGAGGTTGCGGATATAGCAAGGTTTAGCATGTATATATAAGTTTAATTTGGCATAGTTTGACCTCTACACCGCACTCACTAACCTGGTCGAATGCACTTTGCCGCCACACACGGTTGCCAAGCAGCGCTTATTGTTGTTTAGGCTGGCCACTCATGTGTCGCGAGTGTTGACGGGGCGGGGGAGCACGCTCATGAACTGTTAGCACCGGAACCTCGCAACGGCTGCGGAGCTCATTTGCGCCACATTTGGGCCTAAGATGAGGTTTGAGTCTGCGTGATCTGCGTGTAGGGAGGGGCAGCAGCCATATCATTAGCTAGATTAGCTAGAACTAGCTAGATCTGATGGATTTGGACATAAACGCGAGTGAAGTATAACCGGACACGAGAGAGAGAGATCAGCACCTGCAGCTGAGGGAGGGACCGGTGAGCGGAGCAAAAGACACCTTTAGACGTCACCTAACACATTTAGCTATGGCACAGTCGTATATATATACATTATATATATATATACGTATATATATATATACATTGAATTATTCAATTTGATAATCAACTTAGACATCACTCCCAAAAAAAAATTGTTTTTTTAAATTAATAAAAATATTCATAACTCATATTCGAATACATGAATAATTATTCGAATACCTGAATAATTTCGAATATTCGATTAATCGTTCCCATCCCTAACGTAAACCTACTACTGCTGCACCCCCTGTTAACTCAGATGCACCCCAAGTGATTTTGTTCTGGAACCGGGCCTGATTTATTGTTCCCCCCTCAGAAAATAACTGTCCCCAGCCTTGCCCCCCCAGTCAAATTGATCTAGAACCGCCACTGCCTATCAGTAGTCTTTATATGACACGTTCAGGGAACCTCGGTTAACACTATGGACAAGGGACCAATAATATAATGAAGGAGCCCCGCCTCCCTGAAGATGCATTCGGGAACGGTGATCTTGGTGTAGCTATAAAGCATTTGACAGTACTGCCTGCAGAAGACTGGTGTCATGGTTCTGCCACAGTGGCTGCACCCTCCCCTTCTCTGTGTCTAACGGGGACGCGCTTAGGCGCTGCAGACTCGTGACGCGCATCGTCTGATTGCATGGATGGAAGCAGCGAGAGGCACGCGGATGAAAGGTAACAGCTTTGAAACCATGTCCTCTCTCAGAGACGCTAAACTGCGGTATGACGCAGCGTCCAGCATCCGTGAATCCGGCTTTTCGGCGGCATTTAGTCAAACACAGCCCTGAAGGACATTCGGATACACAAACAGCTCGCCACGAGTACCGTTAACACCGCTACAGGACATTAGCTACATGGCCCCGTGTAGAGAGGCTGTCCTGGGTATGTAATGGTGGTATAGCAGCCTGCCAGTGTAACAGAGCCTTGGTAGTACGCTAAAGCATGAATGTTATTGAGGTTGCGACTAGAAGTGATATCTAGCGGTCACACAAGGTCCTGCTACTTCCTCTTAACTTTAAGTTACTAACAAAAGACTACGAGCACGTCGCTGTATTAAGTTTAATCCTGTTTAGGACACCTGATTTTTGAAGGGTTGCTGACTGGAGACTTACACACAGCCAATGTCAGCAAGGACCAACTTTTATATTTCTTATTCTATTTCCTGAAATATACCAAGTACCAGAGTGTAGGAATACTTTGTTACAAGTAACAGTCCTGCATTCAAAAACGTTACTCAATTAAAAGTACCAAAGTACAAGCATCAAAATAAACGAAAAGCAATCATTATGCATATTGTCCCATTTCAGAATAATATATATTATATGTTTTGATGTGTCAATCAAGCTGGTTAATGTTGAACTGATTTTAATTATTTTATTCACTGCTAATTAGCATGTGAATTTACTCCAGGTGTAACTAAAGTCTTATTTTAGTTTTGATCATATAGTTTATTATTAATCTATATCTGCAAAGTAACTAAAGGTACTAAATAAATCTAGTGTAAAAGTACACTATGTATCTCTGATTTGTAGTTGGGTAGAAGTACAAAATAGCATACACAAAAAAAAAATAATAAAAAGTACCTCAAAATTGTACTTAAAGGTCCCATGTCATGCTTTTCCAGTTATTACCCGCAGTGTTTCCCCGCTGCTACGCAGCTGCTACAGGGCACCAGCCAGGTACCCAAAAAAAAGAAAAAAGGGGAGTGATTAGTAAAATATACATAAAGAATACTAACTAGGTAACATAAGATAAGAATAAACAAGTTTAAATTATTTGTTATTGGTTGTGATCATATTCTAAAGATGTTTGGATTATTGAAAAGTATACAGCTCCCTTTGAGTGTTGAGAGCTGTATCCATAAATTCATTTTGTGCTCAAAGTGCACCAGATTGATGCTTTTCACTTCAACATTAAAAAAAAAAAATCTTCCCGGGGGTGCATGCCCCCGGACCCCCCTAGAGGAGATGAGGTCCACCCCCAAATAAAGCAGGTTAAAATAATTATATTGCATACATTTTATTTTGATTGTTTGTTATGTGGATGTGTAGTATTAGTGTTACTTTTTCAATAAAGATGATTTAGCAAAATACACCTGTAGAGCCTCAAGAGCCTTTCTTGTGCTGGCAAACACATAGAAACATATTGATGGGGCGCACTTCGCATGCACACACACTAAAAAATTCCACGCGCTCCGCGCTCACATTTTGCTAGGCCCGTGTGCCTTAGCACCGCTGCTATGACTCCATCCTAGGGGAAACACTGACCCGTCCCCTTGTGTGTTATGAAGGTTGTTATTAGTGGTGCACGATAATTATCGGCCCGATAATTATCGGTCCGATATTAGGAATTATGACGTCATCCCGATAAACCCGATAACAGTATTAATAGCCCCGATAATATACAATATATTTTTTGGGTAAAAGAAAAGAAAAAAATACTGCGGTGTGGGTGGATTGGGATGAGGGGCGCTTGTTTTTCACTCGGCTCCTCCCGTTTTGCCAGTACTGTGGTATTAGTGGTTTAGGAAGAGGGGAGTTTTTCACAAATCCAGCGCTCCCTAACTCATGCCTGGTTGTGACGTAAATGGTCTGCGGCCGTGAAGCGAGGACAGTAAACAAACATGTTGCCGGTAGTATGAGACTATTTCAAAGTTTCAGAGTTAGATAGTTTGCTTGCTATTTGTATTAACAAATGCAATGCAGAAGTTCCACGAGGAGGGAAAAAGGCAACGGGCTATAATACTTCCAACCTGATTGGTCACCTGAAACATCGCCATCACTACGATGGTGTGTTAAAAGCGTACGAAGACGCCTGCGCTGCTAAACTAGCGGCGAATCCAAAGCCAGCTGCAAAGGCACCGGGGCTTTTACCTATCGACGAGGCTTTTGAAAAAGGCAAGAAGTTTGCCAGAGAAGACCCCAGGGCTAAAACGATCTCTAACTTCATCATAGAAATGATGGCGCTTGACGAGAGTCAAAACAACTGTTCTTGGCTTTGTTTTGTTCATAGTAGTAATGCTCATGTCATTTGCTCACTACTAGTCTTTTTTTTACCACCAGGTGTGCAAAAACTACAGGTACATTTAATATATATATATATATATATTATTATCGGTTATCGGTATCGGTATCGGTCTTGAGAAGCAGGAAGTTATCGGTATCGGTTTCAAAAAACCAATATCGTGCATCCCTAGTTGTTATGCATGTAAACGGTCTGCAAAGTCACAAACCCTCAAAGTACACCCTGTAGCGAGTAAAACTCTAACACAGAAAATACCTGTCTATGCTGCCCCAGAACGCCTCGTTGGAGATTTCTCTTTTTCTTCTTGGGTACAGTGACGTGCCCATACCCAATGGACCCATTGGTCCAAATGGACCAATCCGTGGAGCCGTTAGGTTAAGTCCGCGGATTGGTCCAAATTGACCAATCTGCGGACTTCCTCACACACACACTCAATATTTTCTCACCTGCAGCTCCACGATTTCTCCTCCCTGAGATGGCGGGGTGTGTGTGTGTGTGTGTGTGTGTGTGTGTGTGTGTGTGTGTGCGCGTGTGTGTGTGTGTGTGTGTGTGTGTGTGTGTGTGTGTGTGTGTGTGTGTGTGTGTGTGTGTGTGTGTGTGTGTGTGTGTGTGTGTGTGTGTGTGTGTGTGTGTGTGTGTGTGTGTGTGTGTGTGTGTGTGTGTGTGTGTGTGTGTGTGTGTGTGTGTGTGTGTGTGTGTGTGTGTGTGTGTGTGTGTGTGTCAGACGGCCACTGGGCTCATAGGGAGGGGGGGGGCAGGATCTCCAACAAGCCGTTTAGGACAGAGAGTGAATACACATACTACACAGAGATGCTGTATGAGAAACCAATGTGACTTTGGAAAATTGCACAATATAAATCAATTCTAGTATACCTCAACAATGGAACTATGATCAGTAGAAATGGCCATGACATGGGAGCTTTAAGTACAGTACTTGAGTAAATATACTTAGTTACACGGAAAAATACTGAGCCACTATGTAACCTCACACAGGGGGGGTGCTCTTAAGATCAAGGTGTCTGCAATGAAACTACCATCACCTGAAGAAAGGCAACTTCAGATACAGAAAGTGTGTACTGTTTAAATATAAAGACTCTACCTGCCCATTCATGCTCTGGTGTGTCAAATCAATATATCATTTATTATTAGGGCCGGGACTTTAACGCGTTAATTAAGATTAATTAATTACACAAAAATTAACGCGTTAAAAAAATTAACGCATTTTAATCGCACTTATTTTTGCACCGCGGAACGTTTCTCACTGGATGAGTTTCAGGCGTACCGATTATACTGGAGCACCAACTAACGTTCATGACTTCAGACAACAACAAACCACAGTGAACAACAGTGGGAAATGTTGTTTTAAAAAACGGACGGATGGAAGCGTCGATAAGAGCACGGTTGTGTGCAAATTATGCAAAAAGGAATTCGCATATCACCGCAGCACATCAAGCCTCAAGTATCACCTCAATGCAAAAACATATAGCAGCTAGCGTGGACGTTAGCCTCTTTTATCGCGTTCACACCAAAAAGAGCCGGTACTAAAATTAGTTCATGAGAATCTTTTTACCCCCACGAAAGTCCCTGCTAGAGAGCAGAGAGCTGCTAGAGAGCAGGGACTTTCGTACGGCTCTCTTGTGAGAAAAGAGCTATATTTCTGATTGGCTGGGCGGATTGCAAACCACGCCCCGTAAAACTCCCAAAAAGTTTTGTGAAGCCGCCATTTTATTATCCTCGCATTAGCATTATTAGCATTAGCCCAGCGCAGAAACGCAGAGAGACTAACTTATGGCAACCCAAAATAAAACATGGGAGCGGTGGAGATGAGGAGGTGTCGGCGTTCTAGCGATTTACTAGGAAGGCTTCAGTAGAAGCTGCTGGGAGTCCCAGCAGCTTCTACTGAAGCCAGTCCCCAACTCCGGGGACTTCCGGCCGGGGACTTTGGGCGGCAGTATACGCCGTGAAGTGGTTTGCGGCCTGCCAGTAAACCCAAAGCAGAAGAAGTGACGTCAGTGGCTTCATTTGCCTAATCCTCCCCCAGGTTCAAAGAGTTCTCATGAACTAAGTTCTCATGAACCTTTGTGGGAAAAGTACTGCGGTGTGAATGCGCCTAATGGTATACTAAAATCCATGTGAAAAAAATTGCTTCTCACTGTTCTTAGGTCAAATATTTACATGTGATTAAAAATGCGATTAATTTCGATTAATTAATTACAAAGCCTCTAATTAATTAGATTAATTTTTTTAATCGGGTCCCGGCCCTATTTATTATCTTTTATCCGACTATTTAAAACAAATATATACATGTGCTAACTTAATATCTGTTTTTGTAAAATGAGCAGTCATTATTACTCCTGTAATTTATTATGTTGTTTTCCTTTTAGGTCGGTGTCAGCTTACATCCCTTAACCAGCAGTGTCGGACACACAGAGCCTCCAGCCTGCAGCAAGAGCGCTGTCCAAAGACTTTCTCCTCATGGAATATATTTAATCAGTGCCGCTCAGACAATGCTACATCTACTGCAAACAAGTAGATAGCCCCTCAACTTTTGCCAAGAACAGTCCAACAAGGGCAGCTGATAGCAGCGCAACGATCAGGTGGACTGCAATCTAGATGCCAGAGGACCAAGATTCAAGACGGCACTGAAGAAAATACTCCTTTTCAAATTATTGTTTTTCCTCATTATCCCTTAAATTGAGCATCTTTGTTCTTCAAGTGCAATCATGGGGGCCACCGGCTACGGTTACTATCGTGCGACCATCTTCCCCTGCATGTTCATCGGCTATGCGCTGTTCTTCTTCAACAGGAAGACCTTCTCCTTTGTCATGCCCTCTGTGATGGAGGAGATACAACTGGACAAAGATGACCTAGGTGAGACTGAAGCAATAATATAATTATTTGTTTGTTTGTTTGGTGCAATCATCAGGTGTGTTATTAGGCGGTAGTTTGACAAAGAAATTGTGCATTAGGGCCTACATATGCTTTATTTAGCTTGCAAAATACACACAGTACAAATACATTAACATGTACTGTACACACAGACAACACTGCTTACAGGCTTATTCATACAGTTGTATTATTTCGCTGATGTCTTGAATTGTCACCTTTATCACCACACTTGACCTCAGTGAATAGCCTTTGCTAATAGCTTAAATGTTCAGGTGGAGAACAATAGAGTGTACTGAATATTGTAATATTAAACTGACCATTACTATCAAACACATTGTTGCTCTGCGCTAAATGCTAATATAATGAATGATGACATGCTCACAGTCAGTTAAATCATGAACTAAAGTTTAAAAGTTTGACCTGATAAATAGTGCTTGAAAAAGAGGCAGATTGTCTATACAGTATAAGCTATGAAGTCCATCTCATAGTTATAGTAGAGATATCTCTCTCTACTACAAATGTCAACCTACTGGTGGTGCTATAGTAAAAGTCAGAGGATCAGAGTCAGTGAGATTCATCCTCTGTGAACCATGAGTGTCAAACCCCTCCTGGGAGGGAAGCCTTCACAGAAGCAAAGGCCCCAGAGCTACAGCCCCTGTCTGTATGTGCTGTTTCTCGGTGTGTTGCTCTAACAGTAACTGTCATGGTTTCCCTGCAGGTCTGATCACCAGCAGCCAGACCATGGCCTACGCCATCAGTAAGTTCATCAGCGGCGTGCTGTCGGACCAGATCAGCGCCCGCTGGCTCTTCTCCATCGGCCTCTTCTTGGTGGGAGGCATCAATGTGGCCTTCTCCTGGTCCTCCACGGTCCCCATGTTCTCTCTGCTCTGGTTCATCAACGGCCTGGGCCAGGGTTGTGGCTGGCCCCCATGTGGGAAAGTGCTGCGCAAGGTAATAGCATCCCGTGTGCCACGTCATGCAACACAGAGATATTCCGTATAATGTTCACTGCCAATGGTATTCCCACTCTTAATACTTTGTGATGCCTTAAATTACATTGAGCAGCTAGTGTAAGGGTGTTAAACCGGAGTGGGAACCACCTGCTGCGGCATTGGCCCCATTCCAAACGAACCCCTACACCCTCCCACACCGTGATGGAGTGAACTCCGTACTCGGTTGCACACTAAATGTCTATTATATCCTACTGCACACTTAATATTAATAATATCCTACTTTTTAAATTGTGTTCGCTGTAATTTGGCACTTCATAGTGTTTATTAGTCAGAAAGTCTCCAGATTTTCCTCTTTCACAGTCAACTTGCAGGTCTTCCTTGAAAAAGAGATCGTTGATCTCAATGGGATTTTCTGCTGGTTAAATAAAGGCTACAAACAAACTTGTAAATGTGACCTGCTCCATCGAAATCAGTCGCATTGACCCGAAGACACATTTTGAGTTGTATACACTGTTGGAAAGAGGATATTCCTAGCTTTCTAATGATATCAGGATTGTTTTTGTACTCCAAATATTAAGCGAAATATGTCACATTATATAATGACTGTCACAGAGTCATCATTTTGAGAAAAAGGCCTTCAAAGTTTTCTCTTCTCTGGAATCCATCGGTCTGATATTAGCGGAGCAAATTATTAAAAATACTACGGAGGGAAGATACTGACTTGATGTAAGTAACTATCTGGGGAAGTTGTGAGGTGATATGTTTTTTTGTTGTGTCCTTTTCACCTGCAATGCCTTGGTAACTGCATGCAAATTAGCGCATTTTAATTAAGCCTAGTTAACGCATAATTTGCATATCAATGTGGCGATTGTGATGACGTTATTAGATACACATTTTACTGTATTCACTTTAAGTTAGCCTGTATGCCCATGATACATTGCCTTAGCTAAACCTTGAGCTAACTTATCTATTAGCTAGTAGCCTACCTTAGTTAACTATATTTGTTAGTATCTTTTAGCTAATTAGCTGTAAACTCGAGGCACTGGCAGTTTAGTAATTTGTTCATCACCACTCACCTTCAAAATAAGCCAAGAAAAGCCGGCATAACATGGCACAGTAAAGTGGGAGGTGCTGCTACCTGTCTGTCTGAAGGGACTGCCGATGTCCGCACCGCTGTGCAGGAGACGTGGAGGGAGGGAGAGCATCGGAACTTCACATTCTAATCTCCCGATCTGATATTTTAATTTTGTATTCAATCAATATATTGTTGGAAAGGGAAACTGTGCGCGAACAGCAGTAGATATATATTCATTTATAAAGATTAAAAAAGGGCAGGGGATCAAGCCCACTTTGATGTCTATGTGTGCACGTGCCTGGTCATATAGTATTTCATACCTGTTTTTCATGTATTACTATCTGACATCACATACATCGTAGCATTAAAGTTCACAGTTTATTTGATTAGCGGGTCTGCCCTCACCAAGACTGTAAATACAGCGGCAAGATTTGGAATGAAACCGAGTCCTAACTTTTCCTAACTGCCATTTAGAATCAACATTAAAAATCTTTAGTGGCATCCTTTTTTTTGGAAAGCTGTTTGACTTTTGCAACAGTTCCTGTAAATACACAGACCTATACAATCAAATGCAACAGCAACCGTTTTCTAGACACTAGTATATATTATCCTATACAATGTACCTTGAAGTTGTTGACATATATCTGACAATATAACATTCCGTTTTTTATTTTGCACAGTTTAAGAGACAATGTTCGACAGCGTTGTAGTGAGGTAGCGCAGCAGGTTAAGTCTGGACGGATTCAGATTCCCTGTTTGATGTTTTAATAATCCCTACCCCCTGTCGTTGGTTTGGAACAGTATAAATGTGGCTGAATTTCCCACCTCCAATGAGGATTGGAGGTGGAGTTTCTTCTGAGAGAGAAGGCATCTGTCTGGTGCCTGTTGGAGGCATCATGTTCCTGCTCTCACACAGAGCTGACCTTTGAGCCGAGGAGATGCCAACCTCTACAGCATGTACAGGACACTGAATGTCCAACAGTGCTGGGTCTGTGAGATTGTTGAGGTTGTCTAACAATCTGCAAAACTCAATCACATATACCTTTTGGATCATAAAGGTCTGGTTAACGGTATGCATTAGAGGCTTTACAAACAAACCTTAAGGCTTTTCTTGCTTTGACACCACTTGAAGCTTGTAAGAAGCTGCCTTAAGAGTATCAGTGCTCAAAAGTGTGGGGAATAAATAGGCTTTGGCATGTGTTCAATGTGCTCGAGGGGATCAGATTACAGGATAAAGGAGTATATATAGTAGATCCTTCCTTAAAGAAAAAGGGCTTTGAGCAAAAGGTCTCGTGACACTTACCATCTTTTAATAGCCGAACAGTTGCTGCAGCTCTGTAGCTCCTGTTCCACAGCTGAGGATCAACATGTTCTTTAAGAAGCTTCTGGGCAGCCTAGTCACTTCTCACGTTCCTTAATACTACTGTATGTTGTCCTGGGAATGCGTATTGCTATCTCTCCACCAGCAGTACAAAAATCAATGAAAAAGTATTTTGATTAGTAGGTCAGACATTTGCTGTTTGGCCATGTTTCTATTATTTGTCCTTGTCTCAATTCAATATAAAAGAAACATGAATTCTTAATCAGCATTTTTCTGACCATGCCCTTTGGGTTGCTTCAGGAAAGTTGAACATGGAAAGTAAAAACATGTACTCACTGCAGTATGAAGTTTGTAGACATGCACATGAAGGTACATGTCTTTCTTCTGTGTCTCCTCCGTCAGTGGTTCGAGCCCTCCCAGTTTGGAACATGGTGGTCTGTGATGTCCTGCAGTATGAACCTGGCAGGAAGTCTGGGTCCCATCCTGGTCACAGTGCTGCTGCAGTACTACGACTGGAGGACCATCCTCACCATGTCAGGCATCGTGTGTGCCAGCTTCTCCTTCGTGTGCGTGCTGTTCGTAAAGAACGAGCCGAAGGATGTGGGCCTGCCCAGCATCCAGGCTGCAGCCAAGAAAGGAGCAAAGGCTGGAGGTGAGTCAAGAGCAGGAGCACTGAGGGGAGATGGGAAAACAGTTCCTCTACACGTTTCATCTGAGGCATTAAACCCTCCTCTCTGGTCTGTCCCAACAACACATAGTTATATGTGTATGTATATATATATATATATATATATATGGGAATATGTGTGGATACAATGTCCACATAATCTACGGGTAAGTAGGACTGACAGTAGTGTTACATAACAACCAGGAGTACACTCGTACAATCAGCAGTTAAAGAAGACTATACAATGATGCTAAAGACTTATCATTTCTTTAGGGAAAGAACAATTATCAATATAATTATTGAATGCAAATGTTAGTTAGTTGATCACATTCCATGTAATTTAGATTATGCTTTTATCTAAAGTGAAATACATATACTTAAATACCATAGACATCCTACGAGAGCATTTTGGGGTTAAGCGTCTTCGACAAGGGATCGAACCACTGACCCTCTGATTGGAAGATGCCCATTAACCCTCCTGAGCCACAGCTGATTGACAGAAAACGACATTGACATTACAGGAGTACACATGTGATGGACTCAAACCAACTGCACAGTTGTATAGAACATTTCAGTCAAAGTAGTCTAGCCAAAACCAATAATTTGTCATTTTAGTCAAACGTATTTCACAATAAGATTATATCTTGTCCTTATTTGATGAAAAACACAGGTTGATTAGAAAGCAGCTTTGCAGAGAGTATTATGGTCAGGTTTGTGGTGTTTTACTCTGTGTTATGGCCACATTGCTTCCCTTCTGATAAAACAATGCATTCGCTTTTTTTCTCCGCCTCATTGTAGTGAAAATGGGCCCAAATATCATGTTGTTTCTTTCTCCCAAGCAGTGGTGGCTTTAGACTTTTTCGTTGTCAGTAATTTTGACGGACAGGATCGTAACATTTCCGTCATAATCCATTATTATCCGTCGAGTGCACAATTTATCAATCACTCGCGCTGACGGGGGGGTATTCGGTTAACGCGAGTGCGACCACTGCTCCCAAGCCCTGTTGTTGCCATTTTATTTTCTGTTAAATAAGGTTAGTTAGACCATGAGTTAGACCCGAGTCTTCCTGACAGTTCATATTTTGCCGCTGCCCGGTGTAATTCAAATCTACCGCCGCGCGCAGCACAGACACACAGCTGCTGCCCTGCCGCAGCACCGGAAATGGAACTGCTGGGAGAAAAACTGACTATCAGAGATGTAACGTTATCTTTGATAATATTTCGTCTCTTCATTTTTCGTCAACGAAAGTAAAGAGAGATTTTGGCATAGTTTTTATTTAGTAAACTACATTTTTGTCTCGTCACTTTTCGTCAACGATATTGCATGATGATTTCGTTACAGTTATTGTTTACTGCCGTCGGTGCCGTGTCGTCATCGTCTCGTTTTCGTCATGGAAAAAAAGGTCGTTGACGAACATATTTCGTCATAGTTTTAGTCAACGAAATTAACACTAGTGTGTCCATGGTTTTGACTCTGTGTGTTGAGCGCAGCGGCGTCTGCTTTTTGCAGTACAGTAACTAAAGTAGGACTAAGCATACCGGTGGTTTCTGTGGACCTGTCTGCCCGTTTTGTGAATGCACTGCGCGCGTGCGCACTTGTGTGGCATTGTTTGGGATTACCTAACTAGCGTGCGTCCCCCCCAGTAAAAAAATACCCACTACACCACTGACTTCATCGGTGAAAGTTCTCATATCAAGCTTCTGGAAGAAATTATGGAATTGGCATTTTCAACTATGAACATAGTGAACAGAAAGTCGCCTGCCCCTCAATGGCCCCAGCCTGGCCCACCCAGTAAAATTGGTCTAGAACTGCCACTGTATGGCATAGGCATTATCATAGCCAAAATTATCCAAAAATAAATAAAGAGCCATTAAGGTCAACCGTGGAACACAAGAGATTAGACGACCATCACCAGACTCATTTTCCTGTGTACGAACAATTGCATTTCAATTATTAGATCAGAGGTCACCAAGTTCAGGAGCCAAGAGGTCACAGAGGCTGAGAGGTTGCAGACAAATCTGGCACCCCCCTGATATTATTGGCACCCCTTGAGGGGGGCTCGGGCCCCCAGGATTGGAGCCAATGCTCTAAAGCAGTGCTGCTCACCCCTGCATTTTACTGCACATATTGTAAAGCTTACATTATATGTCTCTGATGTAAAGTATAAGCAGTCAGATAGCATCTTCACAATGTAACAGGAGGACACACTCAAGGTTCAAGGTCAAGGTTCTTTATTTTGTCATACGAACACAGCTACATTGTAGTTATGCAGATGAACATTTTAGGTCACAGGCTTCTCCAACAGTGCAATACAATAACACAGATAAACAGAAAAATATATTGCAAGTAAATAGTAAAAACAAAAATAGTTTAAAAAAGTGAAATAGTGCAATAAGAGTCTATTATGCACATTTTGGGATTATTTATTAGAGAAATAGATAAATAATTACTAAGTAGCAGATGAATGTTATGGATGTTGTTTCAACAGTTCAGGTGTTTAACCGTGTTATTGCCTGTGGGATGAAACTGTCCCTGAGTCTGGTGGTTTTAGTCCTGATGCTGCGGTACCGCCTGCCAGACGGCAGCAGACTGAGCAGTTTGTGGCTGGGGTGATGGGGGTCTTTTATGATCCTGAGGGATTTCTTCCTGAGCCGCTGGGAGTAAAGGTCCTCCATGGATGGCAGCTCCATCCTGGTGATGTTCTGGGCAGTTTTCAGTTTTCAGTTTTCTGTAAAGCCTTACGATTGAGGGCGGTGCAGCTGCCGTACCAGGCCGTGATGCAGCCAGTCAGGATACTCTCTATGGTGCACCTGTAGAAGGTCAGGATACTCTCTATGGTGCACCTGTAGAAGGTCAGGATACTCTCTATGGTGCACCTGTAGAAGGTCAGGATACTCTCTATGGTGCACCTGTAGAAGTTGCAGAGTATCCTGGAGTCCATGTTGAATCTCCTCAGCCTGCAGAGGAAGAAGAGCCACTGTTGAGCTTTCTTGGTGATGGTGGTGGTGTTGTGAAGAGTCCATGTCAAGTCCTCAGTGATGTGGACCCCGAGGAACCTGAAGCTGCTGACTCTCTCCACCGTAGTCCCATTGATGGCGATGGGGGTGTGTCCCTCTCTCTGCTGCTTCCTGTAATCCACAATCAGCTCCTTTGTTTTGCTGACGTTGAGATGGAGGTTGTTATCCTGGCACCAAGATATCAGGTTTTCGACCTCCTCTCTGTACGCCGTCTCGTCGCCGTCTGTGATCTGGTTGATGACGGTCGTGTCATCAGCAAACTTCACGATGGTGTTGGAGCTGTGTGTGGCCACGCAGTCGTGAGTGAACAGGGAGTAGAGGAGAGGGCTGAGCACGCAGCCTTGAGGGGCTCCGGTGTTGAGGATCAGGGTGGAGGATGTGATGTTTCCCACCCGCACTGCCTGGGGTCTGCCCGTCAGGAAGTTCAGGATCTAATCACAGAGGGCGCTGTTGAGCCCGAGGTCTCTGAGCTTGATGACCAGCTTGGAGGGCACAATGGTATTGAATGCTGAACTGTAATCAATGAACAGCATTCTCACATGTGTTCCTCTGGTCCAGGTGTGAGAGGGCAGTGTGGATGGTGAGGGCTATGGGCCTATGGCGTCGTCTGTGGACCTGTTTGCTCTGTAGGCAAACTGCAGGGGGTCCAGAGTCAGGGAGGGAGAAGGTGATGAAGGTTTTGACTAACCGCTCAAAGCACTTCATGATGATAGAAGTGAGTGCTACTGGGCGGTAGTCGTTGAGGCTGGTGATTTTTGTCTTTTTGGGGACAGGAACGATGGTGGAGTATTTAAAGCATGTGGGGACTACAGACTGCAGCAGGGACCTGTTGAAGATGTCTGTGAACACCTCTGCCAGCTGAACTGCACACACCCTGAGAACAGGTGCAGGAGCCTTGTGTGGGTTAACCCTTTTAAAGGATTTACACACATCTGCCCTGTTTAAAACAAAAGGGCAGGGCTCCTGGTCCTTCTGTGCCTCCACAGCCTGGCTGCTCTCAAAACGTGCAAAAAAACTGTTCAGCTCATCTGGGAGAGATGCGCATGCAGACACTCCTGCAGCACCCCCCGCTGCTCCTTTGTAGTCTGTCATTGTTCTTAGTCCCGCCCACATGTTCCGGGTGTTACAGCCTTTGAAGTCAGATTCCACCTTCTCTTTGTACTGTCTCTTTTCACTGCTGATAGCTCTCCGGAGTTCATACCTAGAATTCCTGAACTCCTCCAAATCTCCAGCTCTGTGTGCGATAGTGCGCGCCTTCAGTTTGCCACGCACCTCGCCGTTTATCCAGGGCTTTTGATTTGGGAATGTTCGCACAGAAACCTTCAGTACCACGTCATCGATGTATTTCCCAATGTAGCAGATGACCGTGTCTGTGTGTGTGTTGATGTTATTGTCCTCAAACACACTCCAATCCGTAGATTCGAAGCAATCCTGCAGAGCTGAGTCTGACTCCTCACTCCATCGCTGTACTGTCCTTGTTACCGGTCTGTCCCGTTTTAGTTTCTGCCTGTAAGCAGGCAGCAGTGAGATGTGGTCTGATTTGCCGAAGGGAGGGCGAGGGAGAGCCTTATATCCATGTCGGAAAGGGGAATAAACATGGTCCAGTATGTTTCCCCCGCGGCCCGGGCAGCTGATGTGTTGGTAGTACTTCGGCAGGACCTTCTTCATGTTAGCGGTTTTAAAATCCCCGGCCACAACAAACGCCACCTCTGGCCCTGAAGTCTCGGTCTTGTCGATAATCCCAAACAGCTGATCGAGTGCCGTGTTGTTGTCGGCGAGCGGCGGAATCTGTGATCACAACAGATGAGAATTCTCTCGGCAGGTGAAAAGCCCGGCATGAGATCATGAGGTGCTCTAAATGAGCGGAACAGTCCGAAGAAATAACCTTCACATCTGTGCACCAGTTGTTATTAGTCACACACCGCCACCTTTATTTTTCCCAGAGTTAACTTTCCTGTCCTGGTGAAAAATAGTGAATCCGTCAGGAACAATGGCGGAGTCCGGGATAGCGGGGTTGAGCCAAGTCTCAGTGAGAATGAACACGTTACAGTTCTTAATGTCCCGTTGAAAAGCAATCCGACTTCTGAGTTCATCTAGCTTATTTTCAATGGATTGAACATTAGCCAGAAGAATACTTGGAAGAGGGGGTCGGTTTTCTCGTTTCCTCAGTCTGACCAGCAGCCCGGCACGGGACCCCCGCTTTGTCTTCCTCCTGCGTCCCTCAGGTAGGACGGCAGGAGGCAGCCATGGCGAATCTCCATTGTCTGTCGGTGGGTTATTGTCCACAAAGTTTCTGATGTGAAGAAGTTCCTTTCTGCTATATTGTATAGCAGAGTTGGTGCGGTCGGCTTGCATGTTGCGAACCATGTTAAAAGCAAAGTGATGGCTGTGCAGTAAAGAATGAGTAATCATAATAGTTTTATTAAGCACACATACAAGTGCACTTCCTGTATTACACTCATATTTCCCTTTGCATTGCATATATCTGTTTGTGTACAGGAAACAGTGAGAGCACCCTGAAGGAGTTCCTCCTCTCCCCCTTCCTGTGGGTGCTGTCTCTGGGCTACCTGGTGGTGTTCGGCGTGAAGACGGCTGCCACTGACTGGGGACTGCTGTTCCTCATTCAGGATAAGGGCCAGACGGTCCTCATGGGTATGTTGTTTTAATTGTCACAGATTTGTATTTCCTCCTGCTGGTGAATGGGGCTGACCCCCAGTGTTCCCCACAGGCAGCACCTACATGAGTGCCCTGGAGGTGGGGGGCTTTGTGGGCAGCCTGGCAGCGGGCTTACTCTCTGACAGAGCTGTGTCTCGGGTGAGTGACAGCCATGGGATAGATTGGGCAAAAATGATTATTAATCAGAGTACAGTGTTAAAAAAAAGGATCCTCTCTTTGACTTCAGCAAGGTTTGGGCACCCACGGAAACCCCCGCCACGGCCTGCTCCTCTTCATGATGAGCGGGATGTGTGTGTCCATGTACCTGTTCAGAGTCACCATCACACCTGAAATCCCCCAGGTAACTGCACCTTCAATTAATACTGTGCATGGAATAAACATGTGTGCCGTATTGAAACTTCACCAGAGATTATGGTCTGTCCTCAGGAGGCGCCTCTTTGGGTCCAAGTCATTCATCCTGTCTCTGTCCTCATTGGTGTATCAGAAAAAGAGGTATGTTAAAAAAAACTGGTTGAATTTAACTAAATACATTTACTTAAGTACAAGTTTGACTTTATTTGAGTATTCTCACTTTATGTTACTTTATACTTTTATTCCATTAACTTTGGAGGCATATGTTGTTCTTTTTATTCCACTATATTTATTTTACAGCATTAGCTCATTACCTGTTTTTTATTATTCTTACAAAGTATAAATCAATGCAAATGATATGATTTATTATTACAGATCAAGCTACCCAACAGTATACAAAGTACTTGAATTGAACTCACTTTTACCGGAGGCAACATTAAAATGATTAACATTGGTTATTGCATCAATAAGTATAATCCCATTATTTATACATGATTTTAAAATTCCCTCTGGAGGGAACACAGGGAACTAAGCCTTTGCAGACCATTGACATGCACAGAAAGGAGAGGGAAAACCCCCCAAAACACAAGAGGGTATTAAGTGTATCTTTAATGCGAATACTTTTGTTCTTTAAAATATTTTTTATGCAGTACTTTTACATGTAACAGAGTATTTGTATACTGTAGAATTGTAAGAGATCTGAGTAATTCTTCCACCACCGCTCAAAATCACTATGAGTGTTATGGGCCTTACAATTTGATGAACTGAATGTTATTAAGGAGGCTGTGGCGAAGTGGACTAGTGTGTTGGTGTTGGGATCAGGGGAGCACAGGTTCAAACCCCACTGCAGTCAGCATGTCGTTGTGTCCCTGAGATACTTCACCCCAAATTGCTCCTGTGGGGATTACCCACAGTATTGAGTAAATTGGATAAAAGCGTCTAACAAGTGACATGTAATGTAATGTTATTAACACATTCAAGAACACTGATCCACGTTTTCTCTTTGTCACACACAGATCTGGATCCTGTTCCTCGGTGCTATGTTTGGATTTTCTTCCTACGGACCAATCGCCTTGTTTGGGGTGATAGCCAGTGAATGTGCTCCTCCGAATTTCTGTGGAACCTCTCACGCTGTTGTGGCTCTGATGGCTAATGGTAGGCTCCAGATTCACACGTGTATCATCACTGTAGTCTAATTCATCAGTCTAAACACACTTTGTTCTGTTGCAGTGGGGGCGTTCATGGCGGGGCTTCCCTTCAGCACTATTGCCAAACATCACAGCTGGGACATGGCCTTCTGGGTAGCCGAGGTGATAATGGCCTCTGCCACCATTGGCTTCTTCCTCGTACGCAACATGCGTACCAAAATGGGACGCATCGCAGAGAAAATGGACTAACGTGTCTTCCTGAAATGAGATGAAGGTTGATGACATGTTATGTGACAAACGGCCTATCACTAAAGACAGCTCCTTTTACAGAATACTGCACATTAATACGTCAATTTGAACAAAAATACTGATCGCCATATTTGTTCTGATGAATTGGGTTTATGTAGATGCTCCGGTGGGGTGTAAGTCATTAAACTACTTTAGATAGAATTACATTACTTAAACTCAATGCCAGGCAGAAATATGTAGTTTTCTACAGCCTTGCAACATACATTTTGGTGGGTTTTTTGCCAACTAAACTAAACTTATTCTCTGTACTTCACAAAAAGTCTGCCTTATGACTCCTAATGAACTTTAAAGGGTTTAAGTGTTTGTATTTTGCATGCACACTTAATATGAAAGGTTTAACTTCCATTATAAAAATAAAAAGTCAATGTTTTTGATCACCATAATGATCAAAAAATGAAAGAGCCAAGAGGATCCCTGTCGCATATGTACAGATGTTCTTGTCCTGTTCAACCACACAAAGAAAGTAGATGTCTTCCATTTCGTCAGAGGCAGTACTCGCATAGAGACCTTTCAGTTTAATGGCAGCTGTACACTCAAAAGAACCTGGACATAGTGTAGTGTTGAGGCCTGTTGACATCAGGTGGATGCATGCTGCTCATTGCGTACTTGCCTTCAGTGGAGGTCACTTCTCTTGAACTTATTGAATGTTTTCTGATGGGCCTGTATGTTCTAAACTATTGTCTGTCTTTGTATTACTAAGTTTACTGATGAAAACGAATCATCATTTCACTGAAATGAAGTCATTGGAGAACATGTTATTTGTTTACGCAGTGTAATGCTAGTTGATGCAGAATAACACTCGCCAGCTTTTGTGATGCTTTCAAGGATCACTCGAGGAGTTGTCTCACTGCCACTGTAGCTCTGTACAGATATAATATAATATTAACTTCCTCATCCAAAAAATCTGAGTTTTGTCAACTCAACAATTACTGTGATTTTACAATAAATATGTTGTACAGTAAATGTCTAATTTGTTCGGTTTTTCTTCTGTAAACTTGCAAAATACATGAATAAACCTTCAATAAGCTGCTATTCCAACCCTATGGCAATTGTTTTAATACTTTATATATTGAGACAGTTTAAAGTGGCTGTACAGTAAGTGTTCCTCTGGCTGTGAAAGCATCCGTCTTTATGCAGATTCTACGTGATAGATTTGTAATCCAGTGAAACTTCTGCAGCGGGAGTTGCAGAAATCATGTGGGCATCTTACAGTTTCATTGTTTTTAAGGTTTGTCTTTCTCTCCCGCTTGCTGCAGAGAAACACTGCGCTGATTCCACTCTTTCACTAACTCAAACTCAGAGTCAGAATACTTGGGTTTTGTGACAGTTGCTCCATTTTATACTTCAATTCAATGAAAGTTAAATAAATACATATTTGTACAAACACAAGATAAAAAATATAATATAAATTGGCCAACAATAGATACAAAAAAGATATGACAACATGTATATCAACACAAGATATGAAAGTAAACATGCACATTGATATGAATGCAGATTTACACAGTAGAACCATTTGGCTGCTGATGGTGAATTCAGTTTGAAACTGTGTCATCCTCAAATCATTTATACTTGAGCATCAGAATACATGTGTCAGGGACTGTGATTTGTGTCTCCCTAAACTTCCATTTCTAACTTGCAAACAGGGAAGGGTCTTCTTATGGCTTCGTCATTAGCTGGAGATAAAGTCAGTTGGAATGTAGCCATGTCACTAAGTAGTTTAATATGATGTGCTGGAGGTCTGTGAGAATACGCACAGCATGTGAACGCTTCGTCAGGAAGAACAGAAACACTTATTTTATTGCATCAGAGATACAAAAGATGCACAAGAATGTTTATTTCTCTAAATGTATTGAAGTCATGATCAGAGTTTGAGTAAAGCAGCGGCCCCAAGGGAAGCTGTCCATGGTGCTGAAAATATTCTGTCATTTGCCTTTTTCTTTGAAAGTTTGTAAACTATTATTTAAAAAATGAAAGGGACATTTTTTAAATTGATTTTATAGCAACTTTTTCAAAATCATACTTTGACTGTTATGCTTTTGTATAGCTTTTCTTAGCCTTCTAATCAAGTGAACCTGATCTTTGAACGTGTCCTATCCAATTGAACGTTTTTTAATGAAGATGACTCTTTATCTGGCAATAAATGAGATGTTATATGACCTCCAGTAAGGTCCCTTTCCCAAACGTACATACTAAAACTGTGATTATTTAGTGACTTTCCACTTATATCTCATTATTTGTGCTGAATCCTACGGTGAATGACATGCATTCTAGTGTTTTTGAACAAAGCCTTATAGGCATAATGTTTTACTTCCATTTCAATGCTTTCTGAACAATGAGAAACCTTCAGTGTTTTATCAGCAACGTTAATGAATAAGCAACTTTTCAGAAGGAAACAGCGTAACAACTACCAACCAAGTTTTATTGGTTTGTTGATAACAATCAATACACAGGTACATCTATAAACACATCAAAAGAAACAGCACACTATCTAAAACCCACATGAATATTGCTACTGCTGGTATGCATTTGACATCTCAAATAAATGTACAGTTTTTCTGTCGGCCTTAAGGAAGCCAGTCTCCAGTTTGCTCTGTATGGTTACACACCGCATAAACGTGGCTATGAAAACAAATTCCATTTTTACCATCCTCACAATGTATCGTTACACACTGCGTATAGAAAGATTGAAAACCCTTTTCACAGCAGCTATACAAATTTATTGCGATGCTATCACAGAACAGACACAACCAACACACGCGATGCACGTCTGATAAGGAGAGCTCCAGTACTAGGGATTTTAGCTTTATTGATCAAATTTATTAAGAAAACGGCATGAGTACAAGAGTTAACATATAGGAACAAAGCTTACAAACATTCTAAAACACTGTTCTTCATTAGAAACTATAAAACAATGAGTTTCCCTGTGACTTTGTCCACCCCCCAGCACAGATTACATACAGTCCCTTATAAAGCATATGGAATGTAATCTCTTCCCGTTGTTGCCCCAGCTCCTTAACGTCGTGCTCGCGTTTTGACGAACTTGACACCCGACCTGCACCCTCCCCTCCTTCACATTTAAAACTGAAATGAGATCCACTGACAGTAACAACAATGACCGCAATTTGTATGGCGATGCAAAATTGTGGGATGTGACGAAATTCCCGTCTCCAAATTGACTTTTTTCTTTCATTAAAAAAAAGTGTTCTCTACAATCAAACTACTAAAAAACCTGTATTTAGAAAATAGTTGATAAAAATATCCCCTGAATTGTACAAGAAAAGAGGTACAGGGAGCACTGGTAAAAGATGTGTTTGGAGAGATGCTATTCTGCTGCCTCATCTTTTTGTTCAGCTGCGTCTGTAGCCGGTGCCTGCAAGACAAAGTTGAGGGTCAAAGTTTAATCACCAAGAATATGGGCTTTATTTTGCATGTTTATATATTCACATAAACATTACATCCTCCTCAGCTTTGGCTTCTCCGTTCTCAGCGGGGGCCTCTGGTGCTTTCTCCTCAGGCTTGGCCTTCTCCACCTCCTTGGCTTTCTTAGTTTTAGCAGGTGCCTTCTGCAAACAGAAATATTAACATCATTAGTCTAACAGTCAACAATTGAGAGTCTAATAAGAAGTAATGAAAAAAGTTCTCACCTTTGGCTTAGGTTTAGCCTCTGCCTTTGCCGGTTCAGGTGTCTGCTGGGACCCAAACAAATGATGGTCAGTTCTGAGAACAGATTTTAACAGCATGCATACTGAGTGTGAGAGTCAGTACTTACATCTTTCAACCTGAGAGATCTCCTCTTGGGCTGCAGAAACAGTGAACAGAATAAACATGTCAGCTTATACCCACCACTGATGGGTTGTTACTGACCCCTGGTGGGAGCACAGACAACGACTAAAACACAAATACAGTATGATATCAAATGTTCTTACCGCTGAGTCTCCTCCTGTCTGTAAGAAAAAATAAAGAAAATGTGGTTAAAGTTTGCATCTGAATGTGGCTATGGTGAGTACAAGTGTTGCCGGGGAGTGGGCTTTAAGTATTAGTTATGTAACACGGGGTGGGCGTTTCCAGACAAAAGATTGGCCTATGAATGCTCATCAAGCCTCGTAAATTATGAAATGGAGTTATAACCGAGCACTGTGATTGGCTGCGATATGCCCTAAAATCCAGGACACAACATCACTTCCTAAGCCGCACATTAACAGCATGATTACTAAGCAACATGCATCTGTCTGCACAATAATAAATAAATACAGCGTATAGCATTGTAACAACAACACAGCGTCATGTGCGCGAGCTCCCCCAGCTCCCGTCTACTGTAAAAGTCCAATGGGGGATGGGTGACTCCGCCTCCTCATCCATTCATAGGTAATAAATGGGATTTCCAGAATACCGTGTTAGAGAGCGTTCCCGCCATGGATTTGAACAGAGTCGCTGTGCAGAATCTACTGGAAGCCCAGCAACAGGAGCAGCGCTGTGCTGACGGAGGCTCGCCATTGCATAACCGACCATACACCGTGAAAACACGACGAACGTCTTTCAATATGCAACATTACGCTATTTTTATTGAAGGAAAACATTCTATACTGGTCAAATTATATTAAAGTTGTGTTATGTTCCGTAAACAAGTATTAGTGCCCACACAAACACAGTAAGCTACCATTAAAGCCCAGCGAAGAACATTCAATCCGCTTTCATGGAAACTTGAGTATATCCAGCGTGACGACCCCCATAGGAAACAATCAATATGCCGCCAACTTTCTCTACAGAAAGCCGTCTATCGACAGAGAAACCTACACTGCAACAAGCTCAATGTATTTATAAAATGTTGCAACTGTGCAGAGACCATTGTGCGGGAAACCCCGACTCACGGAAAAGCTCTTGCACAAAGATAATCACTGCACGAGCGATAATAGACACAACCCGGCTTGTAACATCAAAACAGAACAAGTCCAGCTGCAAGCTGCAACATTGTTTACGCTCACCCGGAAAACAACACGGACATTTGTAGCTACATTTTAACAACTGTGTCTGCAAGCTATCGAGCCCATTTGACAAACTGCAGCCGGGGGTAATAAATGCAGTATTACTGAATGCATGAAAGATGTCGGTCTACTCACTCTGCTCCTTTTAGGCATGGTTGGTTTGCGTGTGGTGATTTTAAGAAAGAAAAACGGCTAAATGTAAGTCAATACAGCTGAAAATACAGTTGCAGGCTATATTGTGGATAAAGCTGTACCAGTACAGTCTAATACAGCGCAGCGAGACGTTAATGTTCCATTGGAAGAAGAACTAGCTCAAACCGGATTGGATTCTCCCCCTCCCTCCCTCCCTATTCAAACCGTTATAGTTCCTGCATGATTGACGGTGATATACCCCGCCTCCGCTGCCCGGTGATTGGACAAGACAATGGTCAGCAACAAGATTTCAAATGTATGCTCCTACCTGCTTGGGTGCGTGACACGTCAGTCAACAAACATGGAGAGCTACCATCTGCCGTAAGAAGGAGAACTGTCATTTAATGTGTCTTCCCCTCGCGCACAGATAGGCCTACGTGTTTCCCAAAACATGCTTCTTTTTAAATGTTCAAGGATTGGCTCTCATAGCATCACATTAACGCCTTTAATGCGAGTCATATAAGACAATGTGTTCTGTTCATTGGCAGGACATTGAGAGATAACTGTGTATCCCCCCCAGGCAGGTCTTTTGTATTTTGGCGTAGGAAAATGGCGACAAGATACGTGCGTCTACAGCTCCTGGCTTGTGTCACCGTCCAGTGTGCTATCCAGATTCCAGACATGGCTACCGCTTCTAGCATACTCACAGTGCTTCTTCCCACTTCCCTCCATCCCTGACCACTGTCCTATTATTGTTGTCCTGCCCAGAAAACAGACAATACTTGAAATACACACTTAATGATATCAATGACTGCCATTCCATACCCTTTATCCTGTGTACAAGATAATGACGTATTGAGGCGCATACTTTTATCAATAATTTATGTAAAGCTTTTATTTTTCATTTGGCTGG